TAAAAAAATAAAACCTTTAAAAAAAGAAAAACTTTCAGGGGAAATAGAAACCTAAAGACCTTTGGAAATAATTTTGCCTTAATCACAGGCCAATTAATAAACCAAAGAAAAAATATTTTCTTACAGCAACTAAACTGGGATTTGGATGAATATTTATTCAGCATAATTTTAATGCCATTTGTTGTCCTAAAAATTCAGAAAATTCCTTCTGATATAGGAGTTATTAAAATGGTCATAGGTGATGGTAGAGTTGTGGGTATAGTTGAACACTTATTCAAAGTGTTATTCAAAACTTAATATATGAGTTTCATTCAAAGTTCACAACGAAAAACATGGGCCGTCAGAAGGAGGGGTAGAATGTGGAGATACACATATCGATATTTTACAAACAAGACTAGTACATCCCAGAATACCAGCTTGTTTGGAATTCTGTCATCTATTTTTTCTTCTGTCAACACAAACAAAAAGCCAGTCAGAACAGTATGAATAATGATCATCTATTACCATCAAAAACTTTTTGTTTACTTAGCAAACATTTGAGTCCCTACTTCATGTTGGCATTGGGATTCAAGGAAGAGAAAGAAATGTTATCTTGAGAGGAGCACATTTAGACCTAGACAAGCAACCAGATATTATAACTTGTGTTAAGAGCAAGGCCTTGACTTTGGCATTATAAAATGTAAAAAGAAAAAAAAAAAAAAAAAAAAAAGTACCTTTTTAATATTTTGAAATAAAAAAATAGATAATAAAAAGACTTAAAAAATTATTATGCAACCACAACAACTAAAAAAATGAACATTGGGTACCAGGGGAGCATTAGAGGAGGCTGCCTATGCCAGAGGGCCCAGGGGAGAGGTTTGATTTCTCAGTAAGAATTACCCAGAGGTGGAAACAGCCTTAGGAACAGAGCCATCGTCATAGGAAAAGCCAGAAAGAAGGAGGGAGAAGAGGAATTACTTTGCTGTGACACCAGTGCCAGTGTAAGGGGAGGCTGAGAGACATGGATGGGACATGTGGGCCTAAATTAATTTTGATTTCATAACTAATGCACACAAATTTTTCCTGTTAAAAAACTCCCTTAACTCTTTAACTGTATCTAAAATGTATTCTTTTGAGACATTATAAGTTCCATTCCTAGTTCTATTTGGCTGTGTATTTGCTTAGATACCAGTATCCATGGAGAGCAGTGAATGATAGACTTTGTACAAATGTCGTTTGCAGTTTGTTGATTATGAATCGTGGGGCAATTTACCTGCCTTTTCTGGTAACTGGAGTATGGAAAGTGCTGGACACCTAGAGATTATTCACCTCCTTCCTCCTCTGGGACATGAGTTTATTCTTCTTTTAACCCAAGGGTAGTTGGTATCTGGATACGGTTTGGAAGGGAGGAGGTGGGATGCACGACCTAGAGAAACCCTTCACCCTGGGTGAACTCAGTGTTCATTGCCTACCTCTTTTCTCTGCTGAGCTCTCAGAAATCCCTTTGCTGCCTCAAATTGTGCTGTGATCTGTCAGGTGTTAAGGGAATCAGCAGTGGAGTAAGTCACAGGAAACTCAGTCTGGCATCAAAGGGGAGCGCCCCTTCCTTGGACATAGCACCTATTTTAACATCACATCTACCAAGAGACAACACCAAAGAGGGCAGCTAACTGACAGACAGATCAATTCCATCCTGAAAATGCTCTGAGGCTTTATACATGATTTCTGGCAGAGACTGTGGGCATCCGAGTGTAACTGCCTTTTCTCCAACTATCCTGACAAACTTTGGGCTCTGAGCTGTTTCTTTGCACCAGTTAAGCATCATGTATCAGCAACTTGAAGACCTCTAGAGACCCTTTAGAGGACTTTCTTTCTTCTTTGTCCTGGATATTTTTAAATGACAGGCAAAAATATCTATTCTCAGAGCGGGAGAAGATAAAAATGTTTGCCCTTATGGGAATGAGCTCTTAATTTAGCTAAAACTTTTTAAAGAGTATATATTAAATGTAAGTACAGTATTGTGTGACATTGTAATGTGACAAATGCACTGTGAAATAGTCCATTTTCCTTCTGTAAGGCTTTTTATGTAGCGTCTAAAAATACGAAAAGCAAGGTAATCTTAGTAAAATGGAGCAGAAAAATGAAGTGGAAAACAGAAAGGTGCTTCTTAGGACATGGAGAAAGCGGTTTCTGGTAGTTGGCAAGAAGAAAAAAATACTAGACACTTTCTCCTGCAGAATAGGACATCAAGAAAAGTATTTCTCAGCCAAATTGATCAAGAGACTGTCACCTTCTTCCAGATCTTGGAGGAATTCTTATTCTGAATGAGTTCTTTACTAACCATTTGATTAACTGCTGTCAAACATCCCTAGCACTCCAATATGTGTTTTATATAACTCAATTCACCATCACAACTATAAGATGGGCCCATATTACAGATGATGGAACGGGGGCTCAGAGAGGCCAAGGAACTTGCTCAAGGTTACACAGCTAGTGAGTCGTGGAGTATAAGTCAGACTCAGGTCAGTGTGAGTCCAAAATTTTTCCTCTGAACATTTATATGATATACATATGTCCTTTACCTAGTGATCAAGCTAAGCTCATTAAGAAGTGAGAAAACTATGTATAGTATTCCCAGGTACCCCATGCAATCCTAAACTATTTAGCAAAATGTTTCTTTGAACATTTTCTACCCTCTTCCCCTTTAGTACCATCTTCCCCACTGCATGGTGAAGGGACTGTCAGGTTCAAGGGAGCCGAAGCTGGCAGCTTTTCACAGCATTTTAGTTCAAGAGTACCTCCTTCATCACCTCCATTACTGGAGGACTACAAAGCCTCAAAGACTACAAACCCCAGTCTGCCCCCAACCCCATCTCTTCATTTGACCCAACTTACTCCAAGGAGTCAATGATTTTTTTTGGCTCCACAGGGCACGGATAGATCACTTCGTCGATGTGCTTCAGGTTACAATTAGAAAAGGCGGTAGAGATATGTATGAAGGCTTCGAGCTTTGGCATCTGACTAGCCATAAGCAAGAGCTGCTGGGTGGCAGTGACATTAAGCTGCACAGCGTGTCTAGAGAAGAGGAAGCAAAAGTACAGTGAGGTAAGTCAGCACCCGGCCTTGCTGTGACTGCACCTGCTCCCATAACTGGCTTGGGTTACGGGAGCAGGCGTACCCAAGAGCTGCTGGGTGGCCGTATCCAAGGCCAGGAAGGAAAGAATGGGTCATGACTATACAGTCAGCCATGTGTTACCCGGAATGTGTTACGTGTTAACAATGTACTTTGTGTACCCAAATCCAATCACTGAAGCACTGTATATATTGTAGTTACAGGTCACTTGGTTCTAATCAAATAAAATCTAACCTAATCAAAAATAACAATCCTTTGAATTTATAAAGGACCTTCTGAAATCAGCCATTAAATGAACAAAAATACATAAATTAAACATCTAACTCAAGTAGTTGGAAAATACAAATAAATTAGAGGGAAGCAACAATGGAATTTTAAATGAGTGATATAAGTTGCTATTATAAAAGTCCAGGTGAGACACGAAAATTGATGTCAAAATTCTAAATCGTAGTGAATAGACTACAAGGCTTATAAACACAGTGTGTGATGACAATGAAATGGTTCATTCCAGAAACACAGTTTATCCAATATAAGGAAACCTATAATCTAGTTTAACTCAAAGAGAAAAACTACATGAACATCTATGCTTGCTTTGAAAGAACTAAAAACAATTTAATATCCATTCCCAATTTAAAGAAATTTGATAAAATATCAATGGAATGATTAAGCAATATATATTTCAATTTGCTAGCCAAAGTCATGGTTAATAGTGAAAAGTGAGGGGCACTGCTTGTAAAGTGAGGGCCAGGAAGAATGCTTACAATCATGACTGCTATTTCACACTGCTCTGAAGTACCAGCCTTATAATTAGAGAGGAAAAGAAAAATAACAGATATAAATATTAAAAAGACAGTCGCAAAAATCACTATCAGATTTATAATTGCATACCTGTAAAACAAAGAAGTAAACCTTTTAAAAAAAAAACCTTGGATGTACAATAAGATAATTCAGCAAGATTTCCACTTATAAAAATTATGTTAAAAAATCACTTCTCTCTATATATATAAATAAAAATGAGAGGATACAATGGAAGAAAGGCACATATTCAAAACTGAACATTTAAAAATAGATCGAATTAATCATAAATGAACGTAGAAGTTGGCAAAACTTCATTACGTGCCATAATTGAAAATCGATTAAATGGGAAGACATATTCTGTTCTTGATAGCAAGAATTAATATTTTAAATCTGTGAAATTTTTCTAAATCAACCTATATGTACAAGATACTTCTAATCAAACTCCCCCAATTTCTAAAACTTGGCAAAATTATTCTAAATTTAATTAAGAAGTATAAGTAAGTGAGAATAGTAAGGAAAGTTGTACAAAAATAAGAACGCTGTGGGTATACTTGCCATAATGTGATAAAAGTTACAGTAATTAAAATGGGCATGGTGCTGGCAGAGAAAATCTGATTAAAGGAACAAAATAATTAAAAGATTGGAATTCCGTGTAAAAACTTCATTTTAAATAAAGAGCAAAAATAAATCATTTAATAAATGTTTTAAGAACCAATAATCTGTTACAAAAAAAATAAAGTTACTGTATTTTCAGACCTATATCACTCTCCTTTTTCTAGAATTTTCCTGACTGTTCCTCTTTATAGCTAAATAAGTTCTAAATAGATCAATGATCTAAATGTAAAAATTAAATTATAAAAATACTAGAAGATATTAATAATTACATATATAATAAAGAGTTGAAAGATAACGTGACAAATTGTTAAAGTATTTTGGAACTTATAAAAAACAAAGAATAAATATGCTGACCCTTTTAGGAAGTCTTAAAGTTAATAAGAAAAAAATGTTTCAATAGAAAAAATAGGCAAAGAACAATAATAGACATTTCACAAAAGAATAAGATGCTAATCAGCGTTTAAACACCACCGACCTTGGTAATCATCAAAGAAATACACATCAGAATGTGGAATACCATTTCTACATCGGTCACTATGAAAGTTTTGAGACACATTGTGTGAGGATCCATTATTTCTCTTTTTTTTTTTTTTTTCTTTTTTTGAGACAGAGCCTCAAGCTGTCCACCTGGGGAGAGTGTTGTGGCCTCACAGCTCACAGCCACCTCCAGCTCCTGGGCTCAGGCAATTCTGCTGCCTCAGCCTCCCAAGTAGCTGGGACCACAGGCGCCCGCCACAACGCCCGGCTATTTTTTGGTTGCAGCCATCATTGTTTGGTGGGTCCAGGGTGGATTCGAACCTGCCACCTTAGGTGTATGTGGCTGGCGCCTTAGCCACCTGAGCCACAGACGCTGAGCCGAGGATCCATTATTTCACTTCTATGACATGTAATCAACAATATCCTTTCCCATCACCTGTGTATATTTCAACTTGCTTGGCTTGCCAGTGTTGCCGGGAGGGTTTCATTTGTTTCTGCCTACAAAGATTTTATGTTTCTTGATTTTTGTGTATCTCAAAAACTTTCATAATGACCCACATACTATCATCTTGGCAACATTAAAAAGAATTAAAGAATTCTATGACATGTTGTTGTGAGTATAAAAAAACAAGAATTCATGTGCACAGGGACAGTATAAATTAACATTACCCTTTTGGAGAACAGTTGAGCATTAGATATAAAAATATAACCAGGTCATAACCTGGCCACTTCTGAAATGCACCTTACAATTCTTTTTGGAATTTACCCTAAGAACCATACACAAAAGAGTAAAAAATATTTATGCACAGAGATGCACGCTGTGGAATTTGCAATAGTGGAAGATTGAAACTATCCAAATGTCCACCCACACAGAACTGGTTGAGTATATTACACACATGCACTATGGAACGTCATGTAGTCATTGTAACTTATAACAGAACTGACAATGAAAGATACCAAAAACATAATTTAGCAGTTTGCAAAACACCACTCTCAATAGGATATCTTTTTTTTTTTTTTTGTAAAATTGAACACGTAGCTATATAATCATAGTGCATAAAAAAAAGTCAGAATAGATGTTCTCTATACTATTAAACAATTGTCTCTGGATGGTGGAATTTAGAGAAGTTTTGTTTCTTTGTGTTTTCGTTTCATTGAAGTTTGCTTGTTGTTTATTTTTCACAGAAACCAGAAAGGAGCTTACACACATAGGTGCCCAGGCCCACAAGCCACAGGAGGGAAATGGAAATGTACCTCAGTGAGTCATCAAAACGCACAGTGGCTGCACAGTGGAAAATGATGTTTGTGCAGGAGAGCAGCTCCTGCATGTCCTCCTTGCTGATGGCAAAGTCACTCTGATTGAGATCTGCATAAATGGCTCTGATCTTCTCATGCACGTTTGGACAAACTTCTTTGACTTTCTCAAACAGCTGAAACATGAACACAGATCAATATAGAAAGGCCATCGTCACCATCATCATCACATTGCTCTTGTTTATAGCAATACGATTAATTTTATTTATTTATTTATTTACTTTTGAGGAAGAGTCTTACTCTGTCACCCTGGGTAGAGTGCTTTGGTGTCACTGTAGCTCAGCAACCTCCAACTCTTGGACTCAAGAGATGGTCTCGCCTCCACTGAGACTATAGTGCCTGCTGTAATGCCCAGCTAGTTTTTCTATTTATAGTAGAGATGGAGGTCTTGCTCTTGCTCAGGCCGGTCTTGAACTCCTGAGCTCAAGCAATCCACCAGTGTTGGCCTCCCAGAGTGCTAGGATTACAGGTGTGAGCCACCACACCCAATCCAATGAATTATATTTAAAAACTGGTTTTAGTTGTAATACTATTACTTGATGAAGGCATTTATACTCAATAGCCATCTGCTTTATTTCATGCAATTCAGTCAGTTTAGTAAAATTCCTGCTCCTTTTAATTTGAGAAATATTTGAAAAATCCAGTTTCCATAACCAGTCAAGTGTTAATTTTATACTTTTCCTTCAGGCAGAAACAGCAATAGCAAGTCGTCCACATCCTGCCTTTATCCTCCTTTCCCCTGTAAGGCAGCCTTATGTTTACACATGGTGATAATTTCTATATTTGGCTGAGAAATATACATCATATATATAAAATGGGTCTTTTCAGTGCAAAATTACCAGCCTTTACACAGCCTTCACAAATCACGCGCAAAATCACCAACAACTTATTAACTAGCCCAGATTTAACAAGATGTCTTAGCAGCAACAAACTTCATTAGAAATTAACAAATCGAGCAAATTTATGATACAGATATAATTTTTATGTAATCTCATTTTAATACAGCTGGCAGTTATTGTTTAATAAGAGAATAGTCCAAGTTCACATACTTTTTATGGGATATTATTTTAATATTCTAATTTATTTATGAAAAAAAAAAAGAGAAGAGCACTGGCAGTTTTAACTTCTACTACTTTCTCTCCTCCATGCAGAAATTCTTAGATTAGATTGGTGTTTCTCATTTTCTCAGAAGATATGACTCCTTCCAACCCATTCAGATTCAATAGAATATTACTGTAGTGCTGGTATGGTGTGTTAACAGTGAGGAAAACAAAGGTAAAGCTAAATGTTTAGAAAGGTTACGAGGAGAGAAAATGAGACTGTGGTTTTAAGCAGAGACTTTACCCTCCTCCCCCTAAACCACAAAGCAATGTTTTCATCTACTCCTAGATCCTGAGTAGTAGGCTTCTCTCCATTAGAGACCCACCCTAGGCTTTTGCATTGGGTAACAAAACGTTGCTCTCAGGTAGTCAGAGAAGCCATGACTTATTTGTAACAGGCAAGACCATGTTCACAGGCCATCCCGGGAATTTAATGAAAATGACTGGAGAAGGGAATTAAATTCACTTATTGGGCTGGCAAATTAACACACCTCTGGCTGTCATTTTCCTACACTGTATGGTGAGCCTGCTCAGTGGGTGTTACTACAATTCTGAAAATAATTTGGAATTTAGGTCAATCCTCAACGCTTTTTTGACTTCTGGGATTGGTAAGGTTGATAAAGTGTCCTAGGCACATTCTCAACAGAGATGATTCTGTTTCTTCCGGAAGATCTTTTAATGTTTCTTCCAAATTTGATCAATCACAAGCATGATATAAATGTTTGCCTTCTGAATCAGATGTTGTCCCTCTTGGTAGTTCATGTTAATTATACAACAAACATATATTAAATATTTTTGGATAAGTTCATCAAAAATCCAATTTTTTATATGCTTCATCCAAATAAGCTATTTGATCTATCCTAATAAGCTATCCAATAGCTATCCAAATATCCAATTTCCCTCTATTTTTGAGAATTGAATTTGTAGAAACCTATTTTTGAGTCTGTGTGATAGGTTTTATTCACTGGAAATTTATTTAGGGTCTGTGGACTCTGACTTTGGCCTGTGATGCCTTCTGGCTACTGGAGAGCAGGAAGTGAAAGATGACTTCAGCATCCACCCTTGGCACGGGGGGTGGGGGGTGTTCCTTGCCTGTGATATAAGCTGCCATAAATAGGTTTTCTTTTGTCTTTGGTTTCCATGAATTTAAAAAGAAGAGGATGCTTTTACACCATACAATACTTTCAAACAAACTGTGCAATGTTGAACAACACCATGATAATACACTTACATCATTACTATTTTAGGAGATAATTACAAGTTTAGGAAATATTGTCCCAATCTATGTTCAATCTATTGATTTCTATTTTCAAAGAAGAGGGCCTATCTGAATGAATACAGTAGCATTTTTAGAAGTCTGAGTTTTCTGATATAGATAGTAGTTGATTATGGTCAGTTGAAGTAAGTGGATGATTAGGCTGCATCAATTCAAACCACAGTGCTCAAAGAAGACCCCACTTTACCACCGGAGCTGTGCCTAACAATATGACTTGCCTTGTCAGGAATCTCACCATACTGCTATAACGTCTTAAAAAAAAAATACTCTGTAGATATTGCCACAGGTGGGTGGTTTTGGCCAGCACTTTTCAAAGAGTTATCCACCAAGAGAACCGCATTAGAATCACTAGTGCATTTCACAGCAAGTTCCCCAGTTGATTTCAATGCATGCAGATGATAAGAATTTTTCCAGTTAGCATTAACATGGACAATTGCAGATGAACAATTGTGTATGACTCACTTCCCTTTATAACTGCTTAGAATATTCTTCACATCAGTGGTTTTCAATCTAAAGGCATAAAAAAAAAAAAATCAGGGAACCTACAGAGTCTGTAGTTAGGCGTATAACTCAAGAAGCTGTCCTTAACCTCCTCTGCAGATGGATCAGGTTCAGGTGCTGTACTTGCGGAAACACTGACTCTGAAAATTCATGTCTATTCTTAAATTCATGGCTTAAATCTCCCCCTCTGGTTTGTAAATTCCTTGATTCTTGTTCTTCTCTTTATGTTTGACAGTAAGCAGTTCATTGAAAAGACTCAAATTCTATTTGTTGAATTATAATGAATCCCGGTAAGAATAGTAAGAGATCTATAAATTAGGAGCTTACTTCCTGAAACTGCTTGGCTACCAGCTCTTTTGTGTTGGTGTTTTGAAAGACAGCAGAAGGTAGCAGCTGCTACAGGAGGACAGACACAAAGTGTTCCCTGCGTCCTCTCTACTAATTGCCATGGGAGCTCAACCTGCTCAGAGCCGACCCTCTTCTTTTGTAAAAACAATGAGACTAAAGGAAGGGCAAGATGAAATGATGCAGATGGGACCTGAATGGGTCCTGGCTCTTTGGAAAGGGTTTTTGGTTTTGTTTTATTTTTTTATTTTTGCTAATGTGAGAAATTAATTAACGGTAAGAAAGACAGAATAAAAATGAGTAAAGAAAAAATGTATTTCAAAAATGTCATTGAAAGCATACCAATAAAGAAAATACAATTATTTTGTATACAATTGTATACAATAATACAATTATTCCAAGAGTGTATCACATCCCTTCTCACTCACTGGGTGAGAGGTGGGGTATCTAATTTCTATAATGCTTTTGAAACAATGCAGAGGCTCTGAACTTGGACTTTTATGATTAACAAGTCACTCACATGATTTCACCTTGGAAGTACCCACAAGAGGGTTGATATCTATTTTCTGGTAGTGACTGAAGATAGTCACGTCTTTTCTCATCATGAGTTTTTGGTTTTTATTCATTTTACTCAGTCCCTCTTTTCAAATATAACTGCATTATTTAGTCCAAATAACCCACCAAAACTTGCTCTATAGTTTTGTCTTGCAAAAAACGGGTAAAGATTTTTAAACTAAAGGGTAATCTCTGAGGAATATTTGGTGTCCCAAAGTGAAAGAGACATTGTAACATTTTTAAGAGAATTTTTAGAGTGCTGAATAAAAGCAAACCAATGGCTTCTGCAAGTTAGCTCTAAATTGAGAACAATTAAACATAAGTAAGTGCATATAAATGAAAGCAAAAAAGATCACACCCAATGTACAGATTCACAAAAATTCACAAAATTTTGCTAGTTCTCTAGTAACTCCCATAAGATGTAAAGCAGGGGTCCTCAAACTTTTTAAACAGGGGGCCAGTTCACTGTCCCTCAGACCGTTGGAGGGCCGGATTGAGGACCCTGGGACGAGTTGGCTGCTAAGCAGGACAGGCAGTGCTGGCAAAAACACCTGGCAGGCCAGATAAATGTCCTAGGCGGGCTGCATGTGGCCCACGGGCCATAGTTTGAGGATGCCTGATGTAAAGGATTAATCCTGATTCTAGACGTTGTTAGTGCCTTAATGAGGACCACGTCTGTATGACCATAGGCAGGATGGTATGGAAGTGAGGTTGTCAAACTTTGGGATATAGCAGGGTTGCCCAGGAAGTTGTTTAAACAAACAACTAACAGAACAAAAACAAAAACCAGATGTCCTGATACTGGAGAGGCTCACTCAACAGTTACTGAAGCTTGAGCATCTGTACTTCATAAAAGCTCTCCAATGATTCTGATGCCCAGTGGAGGTGAGAACCACCGGTGGACTGGAAAGAGCTCAGGCTCTGTGGAGTCACGAAGGACGGGGTTTGAATCTTGCTTCTGCCATTTATTTGCTGTGTGGCTAGACAACTTACTGAACCTCTTTAGGCCTTTGTGTCTTTATTTGCATATTGACCTAATATGCCAATCATGTGAGTATCTTCTTCATCAGTGATCTCAGAGAATTAGTGGTTAAGCATATCTGATGCTTTTATCAAAAACAGTTTTGCATTTAACAAATTGTAGTTCACTTAGCATAAGTATCTAGAATAAATGCTAAAGGTGACACAATGTTCAGTTCAGCCTCTTCTTATGATTTCTCTCCACACCAAATGTCAATTTCACAGAGAAGATTCTTCCTTGAGAATCAGTACCAGGGCAAGGTGGCCAGGAAGATGGACACAGACCTCTAGATTATTTCTACTCTCCAACAGGAGTGCT